AAAGGAAAGTCGGACAATTAACTACACTGAAGTGAGCTTAAAGCATAATTATGCCACAAAATTTAACTTTGTCATCCAACCCGGACTGCAGCTCTGGCCTCAAAATGAGTTTTATTAGCAATGGCTCCCATCAATTGGAGCTAGTGCTGAATGGCTGGGAGGTGAACCTTGATCCGTCCAGTCTGGTTTCGAACTCTGCTGTGAGTGACGGCGAGACCCGAGCGATGCCAAAATTGCAGTGCAGCCCGGACAAAAGGCAAACTAAGTAAAATGTAATGGCACACTGAGGTCTTCTAGTCATTTCATTGCGGGAAATTCAACTTAAGCGCTTTGTATCAATCAAAAAAGACCTAAGTGAATTGAAATCCATTTTTGAAATGTAGCCCTCATCATCAAGCGGCTGGTGCCTTTGAAAACACACTCCTTTTAATCAAAGGTATGAAGACCAAAATGGTGTGACCCTTCTTTTAAATTGGAGGAGGTAAATAATCCTATTACATGGCAGAAGTGTGATATGATTTACCTAATGCCACGCCCGCTAAGGATGAACAGCGGAATATAAATAAAAATATTACTTGGCGTTAAAAATAGAAATATTTGAAGAGTGCAACTTGCCTCAGTGCGAAGAAACACATTCGGCTTACGGTCAATAATGAAGTTCAATGAACCTAAGGCCAAATATTGATGTTCACCAGCTGATTAAGCAATAAAGTATAGAATAAAATCGTCCCCGAACAAAGAGCATATCGATAGACCTAACCATCTTTGAAAATATTAGGAGAGTTACGAAAGGGAAAGCACAAGCAAAAATGGATGAATAAGATGAATGAATGGAAAAAGGTATAAAACCATCGGGGGCTTATAGAGCAACGATTGTGAAGTGAAATAACAAGACGCTCTTAGACACTAAAGTAAATAGAACACTCAATCCCATTAGGCATTAACTATAGTTAGGAAATGTAAGTTTGTTTTTAATGAACCTAAGTAGAAGGCAGTTTACAAAAATAATTTAGGTAAATAAGTGTTAGGAGGTAAATTAATTATAATAAATGAATTTCGTTCGACATCAGAAAATGGAGAAATTACCTGAAAAAAACGAATTTCACGAAGGCGTTCATTTAAATACTTTAGAAATATCCACTTTAAATATTACACACCACTTTAAAGTGAACATATTTTAATGCCTATGCTAATAAGAATAGGAAAGAAAGAAAGATATTCGCACACTTTCATTGAAGTGGAACTTATGTCAATATCCAAATTTTTGTATTTCGTATAGAACTAGAAATTGCAAAGTACCAGGTTAAATTTCACCAGAAGTAAATATGCTGAAGCTGCAATTATACTTTCTGCCACCAATAAAAAAAATATTCTGCTTCAAACACGTCTTCACTCAAAGGCAGCATAACAGCGACTATTAACAGAATGCTAGGAAGGAAAGATAGCAGCATGGTAAATTCAGAACTTAAAAAACTTTGCAGTGATATGTAAAGTACATGAATAAGAAATTAGTTTAAAAAATATAAAGACCAAGATGCCGTGGCCTCTGTTTCGAAACATATTCATATCAAAAAGTCTATAAACATTGCATGTTTTAGAAGTTGTTTGACCTTGTTTTCGCAACTTAGTCATATCGGCAGGAAGACCGAGAGGGACGCACCTAGTCTGGAGTCCTTCCCAGACATTTCGCCGGCATCGTCAGTGAGTCTTGTTAGTCTTAGCACCACACCACAACTCGTTATAGAGACAAGTGACGCCGATCCTTTGAGCAATTGTCTGCTGAACAATCGTGGTATCTCTCCTTCCTCACTGGGCTAATTACCGACCCTATATCCTCGTATCGCCTCTTAAATATAATAATTTTTTACTTATTTAAATGTGTTATCGTGTGCCCTTTTGAACGGCTTTCATGAAACCTCTCCATACTCCACACTGGCTTTCTCACCCCCCCCTTCATCTTTGTGCTGTGAATATGGATCAGTCTGCCCCATTGTTACGCAGTCCTCCTTCCATAAGTCATATCAGAGTCTCCCTCTTGCCCCGTAGAATCTGTCTGCTCTCTCCCTGGTTTAAGTATCTAACTCGACCCCTGCCACCCCATCTATGCTACTCGGGGTGTTATTACTCATCCCCTGCGTCTGGGTGACTAATTTGAGGCTAAAACCTTTTGAGTAAGTCTCATTGTCAAGAATTTGCTGTATGGACCACGTCAATGGTAAATAGGTCTACTGTCAGACAACTAGCTCTAGCCTCCGCGGCATCTATCTTGTTTCTACCCCTAATACCAAGTATATGACTTCCTAGGCCAACCCACAAATGCTGTGGTTCAACATTGAACCTAATCAAAGCAAGTAGTACCACAACATTTGTGGGTTGGCACACAATAGAATAGGGCATGGAAAGTCATAGACTTGGTATAAGGGATAGAAATAGGATAGACGCGGTCCATCAAGCAAAGGTTCATGAAATTGCGCAGGGACTTTAGCCTCGAGTTAAGCTCTCAGACGCAGTGTGGGGAATAATGTCTGGAGTAGCACAGATAAAGTGACACGGGTCGAGTAAAATACTTGAACCAGGGGAGAGCGGACGGATCCTACGAGGCAAGAAGGAGACTCTAATAAGACCTATTGAAGGACGGTGTAACAATGGGTTAGATTCTGATCAACATTCCCAGCACAAGGGTGAAGGGGGTGATAACGACAGCTTGGAGTGTGAAGGGTTTTCATGAATGCCGCTCGAAGGAGCACACCACACTACATAAAAAATAAGCACGGTAAAAAAGTGTGAAAGTGAAGGCATGATAGGAGGATATAAGAAAATGTGAATAGATAAGGGCAGAAGGGGAGATACCACAAGTGGTCGAAGGATCGGCTTCACTTGTCTTTTTGACGAGTTGTAATATGGTGCAACGACTGGCAAAACTCACTGACGATGCCAGCGAAACGTCTTGGAATGTACCACGTCAACGGTCCGACTTTGAAAATGATTATGCATACAATGGACTCCGGACAAGGTGCGTTCCTCAAGGTCTTCTGCGAATATGACAAAGTTGCGAAAACGGGGTAAACAACTATAGCGAAAGGAAACCTCGACCACACTAAAGGCTACATCATCTTGGTCTTCATACCTACGATTGCGTGATTTGTTTTCGACTGTGTAGGAAAGTGATACACTAGAGAAAATATTAGGAAAGTTTATATTACAATTTAAACGAATTTTGAGCAATAGAAGGATGAATTCCATCGAGGCCCTATATTAAATCACAAGAATAGAAAGATATGCTCGGATGACTTCGTTCATTGGGCAACAACAGAGGCTGAAAATCTAATTAGGTCACTCACGAATGCATAATTTAGAAAATAAACAAAGTATGTATGCTAACATATTCTTATATCAATAAGGAACAGTTAAAATTCTGAGTGAAATAGCAGTATGAAATATAGAATAAAACCAATAGACGTAAAGACGAACCAAATTAATATAAGGAAAGGAAAACCTAACTGATCTCCCTAACGTAAAGGAGAGCTTCGATACAGAAAGCTTTATACCTTTGAATAATAAGACCGACGAAAAAAGAAAATTCTGATGAAAACGCTAACTTAAAGAATATTTAGCCGATAAATCATGGATATTTAGGTGGAAATAGAACATTTCTCCCCTTGTTAGATATTGACCTAAATGTATAGAAGTTATTGAAATGCTGCCGAAATTGTCGGGGAATCATAATTAAGAAAAGAGAAGCACCATCGTAGGTTGGTAAAATTGGAAGTTGATCTGTTCATGCGAAAGTATAGAGATTTGTACTACAAAATAAAAAAGTCCTTATCTTGAGTGGGCTACGGTTAAGACCTTGCTCAGCCATAAACACAGATCTAGATTTAGCATAGGAATCAGAGCTCAGAGGCATACTTAACTCCTTAAGCCACAAGTCAACTCAGGATCAGTGATTTGCAGAAAGGGCATGAAAATCAAGGAAAGATGAGCTTCGACCAATTCAAATCTATAGAAAGATAGATGCAACTTGCTTGACCTCCACGTCCTAGGCCCAAATTTGGTTCGGGAAAAGGTCAAAAAGAGATTTTTTTAAAATGGCGTAGACGAAGTCTTTGGCAGAAATAAATGTCAGCCTCAATTCTTTCGGGAGAGGAAAACAACTATGGACCCATTCACCCATTCACGCAAGTGGTATAGTTAGGACTCCCTCAACGCTCAAGTGGCCATCAGATTACTTTTACAAAGTATTATTCTAAAAAATTGAGCAAAGGTTTGTAGAAATAAGCATAAAATACAAAGCGTAAACCGATATGAAAGGAAGCAGTAAATCAAAGTCCGAATAACTGATGGATACCTTTTGATCAATCTGGGATTGAAGACTATGTATTTTAATCTCTGATCGACGAAGGGCGGCTTGAAGGCGTCCGACCTCAGTTTCTGCGGACCGTTTCATGTTCTCGGTATCTTCAGCCACTCTATATTAAAGGAAGTAAAATTACAAAATACACAAAATTCACTAACTCAAAATGCCAATAAAGTTGACTCTCGAAAGTTGCAATTACTCTTTGACCCAGTATATTAAGCAAAACCAGCCCCAACATTATTAACTGACAACAGATGCCCAAATAGAAATGCAAAAACAACTATTAGCAAGAGGACCTTATGAATGAATAGTGGCAAATTACTCTATCATACAGATCATTTTGATAAGTTGTAAGTTTGCATATTTTGGGTGAAGATTTTACCGAAAGAAATAACGGTCAAGCCTTAATCAGATTTCAATCTTAATGCAAGAACTTTGATGGTCCATACAATTTACGGTTTAGAGCCAAGTTTTCGTCAAATCATGATTGCTCGATACGAGGAAGGGACGAAAGCTAAGCATGGAGTCATTAGATGCGATGAGTTATGCCTGAGTAGACAATAAAAATGTGCAAAGCAATCATCGGCTTGGAATAAAGCTCACAAGAAATAACGGTATCAGTATCATTACCTTAAAAAGGTCACGTGCTAAATAGCATTATCCAATAAAAAGCAATCAGTCACATTTACATTAATCTTCAATTCGCCAAGTGTTGAACGTCAAAAATATACCTAAGGACGGAATTTAGATGCCTTATTATTTAAGAACGTAGACCACCGGCCATGGTAAAGTTCGGATTCCCCTATAGCTGATTAAAGGACAAGATTAAAAGGACAACTGGTTCGTAAAATATATAAAGCAATTTATCAATGTATGCAGAAATAGAGAAAATCATAAAATATCTGTTGGGGA